ATAGGGTTTTCAATGGCTGATTTCCCAGGAGTAGATCACCAGGCTTGTCTTTCGAGGTGCCTCTGGGTGGATTTGAACTGCCAACCTTTTGGTTAGCAGCGAGCCCATTAACTGTTAGAACAAGGCCCGTGGCCTCACTGTTCCTGCCGCACATCACCCCTCTGCTGCCCAGAGTCCATGACCCCGGTCTGCATCCCTTCCCCAGGCTTTGTACCCCGACACACTGCCTTCCTGCCTTCCTTCCTGCCTCGCTGTTTTTCTGCATTCCGTTTCTGGCCCTCTGGGGGAGAGTTGGCTGTGGTAAACAGCCTGCGCCGCAGCAGGACCCCTCAGGAACAGCCGCCTCTGCTTGGTTTTTTCCCAGTGCACCAGAGTGGAACTACATAAACCCCAGGCTGAAGGAAGAGCTGGACAAGGAAGCTGAGGATGGGGAGTTTTGGCGAGAGCGTTGTCTCTGGAGACTGTCCTGTTACCGTGGGTCCCTTCCAGGTTCTCATGGGGGTGGGGTGGGGGGTGCAGTGTTCTAGGAATGCCATCAGTTTCCTGGCCAAGGGGGGCTGCATTTTTCTCCCCTCTTTTGCCCTCGTCTAATTCTACCTCTATAGCAGCACGTCTAAAGGATTGAAGCCAAGCTATCCGGACCCTCAACATGAATTAGCCATCAGCCTGTCTTCCTCAGTTTCTGTGTCTTTCCTACGAGATAAGAGCAGTACTGATCTCTTTAAGGTCTAGTCCAGAAGCACTCTAAGATTTAACTGGCCGTAAAAATAGAACTGCCTTCGCTGGTGGGCTAAGGACGATAATAAGGGCACCTTTGAATGTAGTATGACAGAGAGGAGGTGGTGGCATCTCTATGCTGGACATCACTAACAATCAGATAGGAACTGCTGGTGGGAATGTAAAATAGTGCCATCATTGTGCAGAACAGTTTGGCGGTTCCTCAAAAAGTTAAACACAGAAATTACCATATGACCCAGCAATCCTACTCCTAGGTGTGTGCCCAAAAGACTGGAAAGCAGGGACACAGACAGAGACTTGTACACGAGTGTTCACTGCAGCACTATTCACAGCTGCCAAAAGGTAGAAACAACGCAAGCACCCGTCAGCAGATGAATGGACCAACAAAACTGTGGTCTGTCCGTGCGATGGGGTATTAACCAGCCAGCAAGAGAAGTGAAGTCCTGATACAGGCCAGGACGTGGATGGACCTTGAAAACATCGTGCTGAGTGAAATGAGTCAGTCACGAAAGGACAAATGTTGTATGATCTCACTTATGAGATATCTAGAGTAGGTAAAAAAAGATTAGTGGTTACCAGGGATTACTAGTGGTTACTGTGGAAAACAGGGAGTTTAAACAAAAAGGCACCAAAAACGACAACAAAAAATAATTAAATAGGAAACAGACTCTTGTGGGTTTAGACGAAACAGCCTAAGGGAGGGGCTTTGTCCAGATGACCGCCTGGGGCCTTTTCCACTCTAGGGTTCAGACTCTTTGCAGGTTGGGTAGGTATGTGAGGGGCTCTCTAAGCAGAATGGAGAAGCTAACAGCAGTGAGGAAGTTGGTCGGTGTCTCTGCATACTTGTGTCAGTGGGCTGTAGAAAGGTTCCCAGTTAGCCCAGGGCCTCTAAGGCCACTGTCCTGGCTCCCCCCAGGCCCAGTAGCATGCGTGTCCTCATCTTTCCATCCCACCTGTCTTAACCTGAGCCCTCTGGCTGCTCCGCCCCCAGGATGTCCTTCTCGGATTTCTTGAGGCAGTTCTCTCGGCTGGAGATCTGCAACCTGTCCCTGGACTCGCTGACCAGCAAAGAGGTGCACAAGTGGAACCTGGCCCTATTCAACGGCCGCTGGGTGCGGGGCTCCACCGCCGGGGGCTGCCAGAACTACCCAGGTAAGGTGAAGGGCCCACCTGCTCCGGTAGCTCCTTGTTGTCCCCGAGCTGGGTGCCTTTATGTCTTTGGAGAATGCCTTTGGACTTTGCTCTCTGGCTCCTGGGCGCCCCCTGGTGGCACTGCTACTCCCTTGGGCTTGGCGGCCAGGGCAGCCATGGCTCTGCCGCCTGGCACCTGAGGGCTGATTTCAGTAACGCTGTTCATCAGTGTCTGTGTTCAAACCACCACTGCTTCACCCATCGGCCCCTGAGGGATGAGCTTTTCAGTACTAACCATGCTCTTTCCACCCTACACTGAGCCCTTCCGTTCTTCTCTTGGGCTTCCACCATCCCCACCCAGTCCGCCGGAGACCCCATCCCACTGAACTCTAGGACGGTGTCTAATGGTGTGCTGGAGGAGTGCGGCGTGACGTCTGCTGTTTCAACAGCCTGCATCTCCAAGAGCAGCTGCTCTGCTTGGGTTTGCGCCTGACAGTGTGGACGGGGAGGGCACGCATAGGGCCTGCGGTGGCACTCCCCACTCCTGGATTTCAGAGATCCATCGCTGGCGGAGATGGTCGGCTGCAAACTTTGCCTCTGCACTAACCCTGGGCTCATCTTACCCCAGGTGGGAAGCCTTCCCCAGTCCATAGACCGTCACTAATCCCTATACAGGCTCCTCCTCGGTGGAATCAGCTGAGGTGAGGCAGCACCTGATGAAGAAACTCTGAAAATCCACCCACCTCTCTAAGAAGAAATGAAGGGAAGCAAAACCAGCTCTCTCCACTGCGCACCTCCCCGCCTTCACTCCTGCTTCCCAGTCTGATGTTGGTTGACGATGTTGGATGGCGATGTTGATTGATGATACTGGTTGACGATGTTGGTTGATAGACCATAAGCACCCAGGCAGGGCCATCCCGGGGCTATGCTCAGAGTTGTTGGAAGTGACATTATAATAAAAACCCCACATGGGTTCAGTCCTGGGGTCTTGGCAAAGTGCCTCCTCCATCCCCCATCTAGTCCACAGCGACCAGCTCTAGCAGCAGAGGCGAGGGCTGAGTGAGAGGAAGGAGCTGAGATAGTTTCCTGTCCTTGCTGCTTACCTTGGGGACCCTGGGGGTGTCATTTCTCTTTGCTGAGCCTCCGTTTCCTGATCCTCAAAATGGGACCATGAGACCCGCCCTGCAGCCTCACTGGGTCGCCGTGAGCGCTGTGACACGGAGTGTGTAGGAACGCGCTTTGTCACCGGTATAGCATCGTACCAACGGGAAGTGTTATTTTTATGGCCCATTCTCTGCCTCCGGTTCTGTTACGGAGTAAACAAAAAGTGTAGGGATTGCAGTCATGTTGTATCTGGGAGAAATTAAAATGTGCTCGCCATTAGCAAGCTCGCCATTAGAAATGTAGAGGAAATTTGCATGGATCATTTTGGGAGCTCAGAACTGTAGGCAGTGCCCAAGGTATCTGCATGCAGCAAATCCCTCCTCCGTCTGTGCTGCCAGCTAGCTGTCAGGAGAGACGGATTGCTCTGGCCCCTTGGTGATGGTGTACGTATGGAAGATTACAGAATTTTCTCTGTCTTCTCTGGAATCTACAGATATTCGGCTTTAAAATCCATACACTTGTGCCCTCGATTAGGAAGAAAAAATCTAGAGGCATAGATTCTGGGAAGGTGGAATTGAATAAGTAATTTTATTGTTAAGAAGAAACATAACCGGGGCTCTTGATCGGCGATGAGTATCTTGTTATTTCGCCAAGTCAGACCCTATTTCCGAGGATGTGAGGGAAGCCCTCCCCTCCCTTCCCCAACTCCTTTCTCTCCTCAGGTCACATCATTGTTGAAACGGTTGAGGCCTTAGCGTGGAAATGCCTGTCAGGCTTGTCTTCTTCAGTTATGTTCTGCTGCTCGGTTCCTGTCACAGAATTGCTGTGTGCCCTTGGAAAATCCATTTGACTTCTCTGTACCTTTGCTTGGGTAGTCACTATTTTGAGAGATTAAAAAAAAAAAAAAAAATCTTTGAAACAAAGTGGTCTTTAAATACTCACAGGTGGTGTGGCAGGAGTGCTTTCTAATTGCCAGTTATCATTCCTCATGCATTATTAGATGACTTAGTCTCGAAGAGCCTGTGTCATCTGTGGTCCGCAACACTGCAGCCATCACGTGAGGCCGCGGGGCCTACGGACAAAGAGTAGCTCCTGGACTGCTGGGGCTGTGATCTGAAGCAGGGCCCTCCCTGAGGGAAAGCGCAAGTCAGTCAGGCTGGGCTTTCTGGCAGCAAGAGTGGCCTGCGCTCTTTCTAGCCTGTCAGGAAGAAGTCGCCTTGGTAGCTAGTCTCCTCCGGGACTTTGTCCTCATCTGTCCCAGGGCCCTATTTTTTACTCAGAGATCTCCCTTCATCAGGAGGTGAGTTTGCCTTCGTAGACCAGGAAGCTGAGAACAAGGAATGTTAACAGTTTTCCCAGGCAGACTTGGAAGTGCCTTCCTGTCTTAGTCATCTAGTGCTGCTGTAACAGAACTACCACAAGTGGATGGCTTTAACACAGAAATTTATTCTCTCACAGTCTAGTAGGCTACAAGTCCAAAGTCAAGGCATCAGCTCCAAGGGAAGTCTTTCTCTCTCTGTTGGCTCTGGAGAAAGGTCCTTGTCATCAATCTTCCCTTGTTCTGGGAGCATCTCAGCACAGGAACCTCAGGTCCAAAGGATGCACTCTGCTCCCAGCACTGCTTTCTTGGTGGTATGAGGTTCCCATGTGTCTCTGCTTGCTTCTCTTTTTTATATCTCAAAAGAGATTGGCTTAAGACACTATCCAATCTTGCAGACCTCATCAGTATAACTGTCGCTAATCCATCTTATTACATCACAGTGATAGAGTTTACGACACATAAGGAAATCACATCAGATTACAAAATGGTACACAATCATACAAAACTGGGAATCATGACCCAGCCAAGTTGACAGATATTTTTGGGGGACACAATTCAATCCATGGGTGCAGTGGATTCCTAGGCTCATGGTACCTTGAATCTTCCCAATCAACCATCCCTGGGTTGCTGCTCCATCAAACGGAAGTGCAAAAATTCCAGACACTATGGGATGTTTCTGTGTGTGTGTGTGTGTGTGTCAGGGTGAGGTGGGGAGGTAGGAGGAAGTGCCTGACCACCTTGTAAAGAAAACTTTCCGAGGTCTGCTTACTAGGTACCGTTTGCCTAACCAGTAGGTCCCTGGGTGACGCAAATGTCTTGTGCTCGACTGCTAACCTAAAGGTTGGTGGTTAACCAGTTGTTGTTGAGTTGGTTTTTGACTCATGGCCACCCACGTGTGTCAGAGTAGAACTGTGCTCTATAGGGTTTTCACTGGCTGATTTTTCAGAATGTAAACCTCCAACCTTTTGGTTAGCAGCAGAACTTGTGTTAACTATTCGCAACACCCAGGGACTCCTACAGTTTGCCAAGAGTCATGCTTTCATTGGGATGATCAAGGTTCTCCCGTTTCATTTTATTCTTCCCATGTCCTTGCCCCCCGTGGGGGGAACCACCACCACCTGGGTGACTTCCAGCCACCTACTGGACCAATCCCCAGTTCAAAATCCGTTTGGAAGAGGTGGAAGACAGCCACGAGGAGAACGCTGGTGAGCCCTGCTGTGCGGTGCTGCTGGGTCTGATGCAGAAAAATCGCAGACGACAGAAGAGGATAGGACAGGGCATGCTGAGCATCGGCTATGCCGTCTACCAGGTACCCCGAGCTGGGCTCGTCCTTTACTGCACGCTTGATTATTTGGTCTGAAGACTTTGGCTAGTGATTGGAGTGCATGTTTTCTATTGCTTGGATAGTCCTGATTGAGTGTTCTTCCTTCCTTAAGTGCGTCTCCCTATGGCCTTACTGAGGTCCAAATTCCACCATTAGAGATTCATTCTTATGGCTTATGTCTTTGTCCACTGTTAACATTGAGGCATATAATTCATTGAACTTTGCCTGTCATTTGGATCTCAGTATAGATACACTTGAGCCCCGGTGGTACAGTGGTTAAGAGCTGGCTGCTAACCGAAAGGCCGGCAGTTCAAATCCACCAGCCACTCCTTGGAAACCCTTTGGGGCAGTTCTACTCTGTCCTATAGGGTCATTGTGAGCCAGAATGGACTCAACGGCAATGGGTTTGGTTTGGTTGGTATAGATACACTTATTAGACTCTTTCCAAATACAGACATTTCAGGGGACAGAGGCCAAGGTCATGGGGGACAAGGCACTCAAGGGGACACGAGGAGGATGACGGGCAGGTTTGAGTGGGAGGAGGGAGGCTGGATATGGGAGCCAAGCACAAACATCCCTTTCCTGTCACCCTGGGCAACCTTGAGATACTTGTTGGGGTGCACAGGGCATGGGTGTGGGGCGAGGGAAGCCACATGGCCATTTCTAGTTCACGTGGCTCTGGTTCTGGAAACTGAAGCTGACTTGGTCTCGGGTTGAAGTCCCTGGCTCAGTAGTCCAGTTTGCACTGGTAACCACCCCACTACAGATTTAACAGCCTCAGAGATATGTTAACACAAGGCCTTCGAGTGGACAAGCCTGGCCAGGAACAAATGGGAATCCACTTTTTTATACAGGCAAAGGCTCCTTACAATAAATTCCAGAGGGATTCATACTGGTTGTTTTTGTACAATTTTGTTAATAATACACCTCCAGGGAAACAATACAAGTCTAATCAGGTAGACCAGTGTATGACACAGAGCTGGCTGTAGGTGCAACAACTCAGTGTAAATTAATTCATGGAAGGACGTATTATAATTAGAAACCAGGAGGGACAAGTGAAGGAGCCCTGGTGGCACAGTGATTAAAGTGATCAACTGCTAACCAAAAGGTCGGTGGTTTGAAACCACCAGTGACTCCTCAGGAGAAAGATGTGGCAATCTGCTTCTGTAGAGATTTACAGCCTTGGAAACCCTATGGGGTCGCTATTAGTCAGAATCAACTCAACGGCAGTGGGTTTGGTTGGGTTTTGGAAGGAAAAGTGGCATTACCGAGTGGGCTCCTGCTCAATCAAATGGAAGTGCAAAAATGCCAAATGTTATGAGATATTTCCAATCCCTTTGTTTCCCTTGTCCGTGTGTGTGTGTGTATGTGTCTGTGTGTTTTAGTTTGGAAGAATGGAAGTTGGAAAACATTCTCTTCTTGATGGCAGGACACAAGAATTGCAGCTAAATCAGCTCCAACTCTGCTCTAGCTTAGCTCGGCCATCCCAGCTAGAAGATAAATAGCACAAAAGCAGATTCTCTTCTTACAGGTGAAAAGCCTGAGAAGTCACTTATGGTATGTAGATCCATTCAACAAACTTCAGTGAATACTTACTATGTGCCAGGTCCTATGCTGAAAGCTGGGGACACTGAGAAGACAAGCACATGGCTATGCCGTCATGGTGCTCACAGTCTGGAGTGGGGATTAGGCACACGCTCAGTGAACTTCAGTGCCGTCAGATTGTGCTATTATGGGAACCAAGATGGTGGGCTAGAGCCATCTCTGAGGAGGACAGCTCCAGGGAGGAGCCTTTTGACCAGGGCTTCAGGAATGAGTCAGATTTCAAAGTTGGAGAAGGGAGCAGAGAGTGGGGGGGCAGGGCTGAAGGCTGGGCTCCTCAGGGACTGTGTGGCCACCAGGCTCATTGTCCATCAGGCCTACTTTATATAACCTGATCAGCAAAGCCTTCTTTCAAAGGCACGTGGGCTAACACACTGAAATAGCTTTGTTTGGCATGGCATTTGCTGTAATAAATAATATATAAAGCATGCGAGTTTTTCAGATGCCAGATTATAGCTGCTTATAAAATACACCAACGCATGTGATCCTTGGACCTTCTTATGGCCAGAGGCATGGAATTTAGAGCATGACAGCTGTGAGTGGAAGCATTTGGAAAGTTAGGGTGAGGAGCGGGGTGCAGGAAGGTAGAGAGCTCCGTACTCTGACCCCCGTGTCTGCCTCCTCTGGCTTTAACTGTCTTCAAACTGGAGTCTGGTTTGAGGTTGAAAACCTGACACCAACTGAGAAGCAGCAGGGATCCCTGAAGGCTAGAGAGCCCTGCTCATCCAGCTTCCTCTCTCTCCTGTTATCTTCCTGCGTGACAACAGACAGGCTCATGCGGGCGGGCCTCTCATTTGCATTCAGGATCCTGCGTTTCAAAGAGGATTGTCCCTTTCCATCCACCAGTGGGCGATGGCTAAGGCCTGCACTCCTGCCTTGCTGCTCCGGATATGTGTCACCAAGAGCCCCCCACCCCAGTCGCCTCCCTGGCTCAGTTCCTGCCCAGTGCCTCTTGGCAGGGTGGATTCAGAGCATGTGGATGGTGGCGGTCGTGTTGTTCATAGGACTGCGGCCAAGCTAGTTCTCTCCCCACTGGCTGTTTCCAGTTGCTCTTGAGTCAACTCCAGCTCATGGTGACCACATATGTGTGAGAGTCGAATTGTGCTCCGTAGGGTTTCCAATGGCTGATTTTTCAGCCATAGATTGCCAGACCTTTCTTCCGAGGTACTCTGGGTGGAATCGAACCTCCAATCTTTCGGTTAGCAGCGAATGTGTTAACCCAGGGACTACCCAGGGACATTGGGACCTGTAGGCTTGGCCGTTTCAGGCAGGAAAATCCTGGCTGGGGGTGGATAAAGGCTCTTCGACAGGGATGGGGTGGAAGATATCTGTGAGGGCCCCTGCTGCCCAGGCAGCCAGGGTGTCTTGTCTGCATGGGGATTTGGCTTAAAACTCACAGTCAGAGAGTGCCAGTGGCCCCGGAGTTTTCTTCCCTCTGCTGCCAGTTGCAAACTCCAGAAGTGAGGATGCCAGCAGATCCAAGCTCTCACTAATTGTATTTTTTCAGAGTTGTAGGTAGTCGCCCATGGGCCCAAGCTGCAAACAACGCCGTGCCTGCTCTACTGGTCAAGAGAGCCTACATGGCAGGGCGGAGGAGGGAAAAGGCCAAAATGGGGACTTGAACCTCTTCTCTCTGCTGGCATAGGAGTCCCGGTGCCCTGGGCATGGGAGGATCCACTGTGGATCTGAGAGCTGATCCCTCCAGGGAGGCAACGTTTTCAGTTGCAAATAAATAAGTCCTTGGGTGGCACAAAGGGTTTCCTCTTGACTGCTAATTGAAAGGTTGGTGGTTCAAATCCACCCAGTGCAGCCATGGAAAAAAAGGCCTGGCGATCTACTTCCATAAAGATTACAGCCAAGAAAACCCTACAGAGCAGTTCTACTCTGTAACACATGGGGACACCATGGATCAGAATCGACTAGATGGCTATGGATTTGGTGGTTTTTAACTTGAGCTAAAACCAAAACCCATTGCCATCGAGTCGCTTCCTACTCATAGCAACCCTATTGGACAGAGTAGATCTGCCCCACAGGGTTTTCAAGGAGCGGCTGGTGGACTCGAACTGCTGACCTTTTGGTTAGCAGCTGAGCTATTAACCACTGCACCACCAGGGCTCCTACTTGAGCTAGACGAGTGAAAAAAGAATTTACCAGTTCATGTAACCAAACCAAGGGAAGGGCAGGAATGCATGGGACAAGACCTTGGGTGTGTTCCCTCTACATCTCATCTATGGGATCAGTGCCCTTCTAGTCTAGCTTTCTTCACTATCTTCCTAATATCACCCGTATAACGGAAGGGGCCCCCTTCCCTTAGTTTCAATTTAAAAACCCCAGAGAAGTCTCTGGTGGCCTCAGCTTGGTCATGTCCTTGGACCAATCACTGTAGCTGAGGGCAGGATAAACTGTGGCTCAGCTAGGGTGAGATTCCCTCCTCCATCTGAGCACCGGATGTGGGAGGTTAGGTCTGTAAGATCTTGTCTGTGGTTGCCATCGAGTCAGCTCTGACTCCTGACCACCTTACGTACAACAGAACAGAACATGGCCTGGTCCTGCACCGCCTTCGTGGTCATCGACATGTTTGAGCCCATTGCTGTAGCTAGTGTGTCAGTCCATCGCATCGAGGGTTTTCCTCGTTTTCGCCGACCCTCCACTTTACCAAACATGATGTCCTTTGCTAGCAGTTGGCCTTTCCTGACGATGTGTCCAGAGTAAGTGAGCCAAAGCTGTTAGCTCTCATTAAACTCCAAGGTTATGACCCCTAAAGAATTTGGGATCCTGGTAGATTATATGGAGCTCTGGTGGCACAGTGGTTAAGAGCTCAGCTGCTAACCAAAAGGTTGGCTGTTTGAATCCACCAGCTGCTCCTTGGAAACACCATGGGGCAGTCCTACTCTGTCCTATAGGGTTGCTATGAGTCGGAGTTGAAGTAGAACTCCCCACCCGCCATATTTCTAGGGCTTAGTGCTCTACAGCTGGCTTTGAAATTCAGCAATGACTTTCCAGTTTCAGAAATGCTGACTCATCTCTCACTTTAGCATTCATCTCCTCCCTGGTGGCCCGAGCCTACAAGTCTGTCTGCAAGATGCAGGGGTGGGATGCAAAGGACGAAGGGAGGACCTCGGAGCTCTCAGATGACAGCTCCTTTCTTCTGCCCTGTAGGTTCCCAAAGAGGTATGTGAGTGCTGACAGAGATGTCCTCCCTTTGGTAAGAAGTAGTGTGGCTGCCTTTGGGGCAGGCACAGTGGCATCTGCTTCCTCTGATGGAAGCCCGTGCTCCCGCAGACAGACCCCCGCGAGATCTGGTGAGCTGGTACCTCAGAGTAGTAAAGACAATCCTGAGCGCCCCCTGCCAGGCCCTCATGAAAGAGGACGGTGGTAACCTTTGTCTTCTGCGTACCTGGTGGTCTGACCTAAACACGGTGGTTATAGCACACCTTGGGTTTCTAGTTATCTGACCAACAGAAGTCAACGCCCTGATCTCTGATAGGAGTAGGAAGCACTGACATTTTTTGGCTCCTCAATAATTTATAACTGGGCTAGAGAATCAGCTTATCAGTATCATACTTAATACCTGGGGTTTTTTCGTGCCATCCCAGGCTTCACTGGCTGTACCATCTCCTCGGGAGAGGCCCGGCATGGCTACCTTTGTGAGCGCATTCTGGGCATATTCTAGGCCCTCCTGGTGGCGGCCAGCACAAAGCCAGGCCCAATAAATTCCAGCCCGATGAGCCTCTCCTTGGCTGCAGGTTGGAACCACCTGGGGAGCTTTTAAAAGTCAATGCCCAGGCTGCACCTCAGACCAATTACATCAGAATCTCTGGGGTGGGACCCAGGCATTGAGCATTTTAATAAACTACTCAGGTATTCCAGTGTGTAGCCAAGGCTGAACCACTGTTATCTGGGGCTTCCTCCAGCTGGGGTCAGTTGCACTAATTATGTAGCGGTCCGTTTGTCCTGCTTCATTCTCACGCCCACTCTCAAGGGCTCTCAAGCTTAACCAGCTACAGCTTGTGCCAGTGAGACCCAAATTCACAGGCTCCATCCCATGCATGCGTCCAAGGCTGCAGAATACTGGTCTCCCCGTCCATGTTATTGATGACGGAGGGAAACAGACAAGGGAGTAGGGGTGATCCAGAGCAAACACCTCTTCACTTCTAGAAAACAGGAGAAAACCTGATTAAGTCGGTTCGCTGGTGGTTCCCATCAGGAATGTCACATTTATGAGTAAGGGGTCATCTATGGTGGAATGCCCCCCAACAGTGCCACAGGGTGCCCTCAATATGTCACCATGGGTCCTGTGCTCTACAAGTGCCAGGGGGTCTTCAGGTCTCAAACCACTGTGTTAGAGACCCCTGGATGTCTGTTAGAGCACAGACTGCTGGGCCCCACACTCAGAGTTTCTGATTCTCTAGGTCTGAGGAGGGGTGTGAGCAAGAATTTGCATTTCTAGCAAGTTCCCGGGTGATTCTGATGCTGGGCCCGCACTTTGAGAGCCACTCTCAGTTAAACCTGCTCTATCCCATCCTGTCACTGCTGGCTGAGCCATGTCAAGAGCCATTTGAGGGCCAGGGACCTGGTGGCACCTGCCTGTCTGGGTCCCTGATAGGACAGAGGGGACCCACCTCTTGCCTCAGTGTCCTCCGATTCCCACTCTGGCCTGCCAGACAGAGTTTGGCTTTTCTAACCTCCCCCGTCCCTGGATTGTCAATGGAACTCAGTTTGTTCCCTTCCCAGCCCAGCCCAGCCCAAACTAGAGCTGACTTCCCCACCTCAGTTCTACCGAGTACTGTCTCCTGCTGGTTCCTGTCTTCCCCTGCTCCCAACAGCGATGGCAAGAATGACATTGAACTCCATGATTCTTAGCCTTTGGCCACAGCCTCACACTCCCAGCATTGTCCTGCCCAGAGTGTAAGCATTTTCAGGGGAATCCCAGGCTCTGTGGGTGCCTTCGTGCCAGGTCAGCAGGGGCTGCTGGGGGGTCCATGGAGTCCAGACCAGGGCAGGGGGGGCAGGTGGCCCTGCTTTCTTCCTTGCCTGGCAGACATATGGTCCTAAGAGGGTCTGCTGACCATGAACGGACACTGTCCACTCCAGAGTGGGCCTCTAGAGGCCACTGGGTCACAGAGAAGTCACAGCCCCGTGCAGCTTGTCAGCACCTGCCCTCTGTTATGGGCATCCTGAGGAAGACTGATCGTAAAACTACCGTGCTGCAGGGAGGCTTAATGAAGCAGTAATAACTCTGGCACCTGTGTGTTGGAAGCCTTCTGCAGTGCTAACTAGCCTGTGTCATGAAGCAAAAGCCTCCCCCTCCCCACCACAAACAGGTGGGTCATGGGGACCATCTCCCCCCTTCCAAGGAAAGCCCAGGTCCTGAGGGAACAAGGAGGGACCCAGAACCAGGCCTGGCTGTGGCCACCCCCTCTGTCTGCCTCCTTAAGAGCTACCACCTTAGCCCCCTGACCTGATCACCCTGGTGACCTTGCAGAGAAATTTCTCAAATAGTCACAGGTGAGAAGGCCCTTCTGGCTGCTTGTGCTCACAGGGCTAGGATTGAAGCCTCAGGCCTGTCCTGGGGAGGTCGATGCCAACACCTGCCAGCTCTCCCCCTCCCACCACGGGAGGTCAATGCCAACATCCCCCATCTCCCCCCCTTATACCTTGAGAGGTCAATGCCAACATCCCCCAACTCTCCCCCACCCCCCACCATGGGAGGTCAATGTCAACACCCCCCATCTCCCCCCCTTAGACCCTGGGAGGTCAATGCCAACACTTCTGACACCCTGTGAGGTCAATGCCAACTACAGAATAAAAGTATATTGGATTCAGTGAGCCGGTGACTGATGAGGAAAAATATCCAGTAAGAAGCTGAGCACACACCACAGGCCCTGCTGTTCAACTCTTTCTTTCCTGGGGAGGATGCAGGAGCGCAGAGGCAAGGGGTCTGGCCATGGGCACAGTCAAGGGCAGTACTCAAACAGGGCCTGGCACGGAGAAGGTGCTCACAGCACAGCTGGTGATGGACACACGGTGAGTTAGCGACAGAATCCACACAGGAGCTCAGGCAAGAATGCAGGCATCCGGTTGCTTAGCTCAGTGTTAAAAGCCAAGGAGCCCTAGATTAGCATCACAAAACTCAACTCTTCTGCCCCTATCTTCCAGAATTTAAGGAGAAATTGACTGTGACTCTTGATTCGTGCAGCTGGAGAACCACACCGATGTGCACCTGGGCCAGGACTTCTTCCGGGGCCACCAGCCCTCAGCGCGCTCTAACATCTGTGTCAACCTGCGTGAGGTCTCCGGCCGGGCCTGGCTGCCCCCGGGGGAGTACCTGGTGGTGCCATCCACCTTCGAGCCCTTCAAGGACGGCGAGTTCTGCTTGAGGGTGTTCTCAGAGAAGAAGCTCACAGCCCTGTGCGTGCTCCTTGCCCTCCGCGGTGGGGGGCGTTGTCTGAGAGCGCGGGCCAGCTGAGGGGAATGACTGGAGGCAGGCACCTGTCCCTGTGTGCGGCTGTTCCCAGCTGAGGTCACTCAGAAGACGTTTGTCAAACACCACAGGTCCCAAGGGTCCCTAAATGGGTGTCCTTTCCTGTCTCCACCATTTTGATCTATAGGACACAAGGGGAATTTTCTTGAAAAAAAGGTCAAGGCTAGATGGTAGTGGCACTAGGAGCAGCCTGGTTAGAGGGTCTTCCGCCCAGCAGGGGTGGGCACCTGAGGCCCAGAGAATAGGATCTAAATGGCAGTACCACCTCTTCCTCTGACACATGCACATATACGTACACGTGAACATGCGTGTGCACACACACATGCACACACACCCCCACGCACACCCATGTGCACACACACACATGCACACACACCCCCACGCACACCCATGTGCACACACACACACATGCACACACACCCCCACGCACACCCATGTGCACACATACATGCGTGCACACACATGCATATGCACACATATATACACGTGTGCACACATGCATGCACACATACACACACCCATGCGTGTGCACATGTACACACAGGTGCATGCATACACTTGTGCACATACGCGCGCGCACACACTCATGCGTATGCATGCACGTATTTGGCACAGGCTTGCTAGCTCATTCAACAGCTGTGTTTCCAGGGAGAGCAGACTGGGGGAGGGGAAGAATGATAGCTGGGGCAAGATGGGGAGAAAATCCCCAAGAAGAGTGGTCCACCAGGGCAAAAGTGCCAGGGTCCATGGGACCAAACAAAATTGGCAGCTCTTGTCCCTGATGAGGAGTCCCCGGGTGGTGCAAATGGTTAATTCACTCAGCTGCTAACTGAAAGGTTGGAGGTTCGAGTCCACTCAGAGGTGCCTCAGAAGAAAGGCCTGGCAATCTACTTCTGAAAAATCAGCCACTGAAAATTCTGTGGAGCACAGTTCTACTCTGACACACGTGGGGTCACCGTGAATCAGAGTCGACTTGATGACGGCTGGTTTGTCCTTGGTGAAAGCTCAGGGTGGGGTGAAGGCTGGGAAGGGGAAGGAGGGGTGCTGGTTAAAGATTCAGTGTATGCAGTTTGGTGCTAGTAGGAACTGAAGTTCTTGGACGGGAAGCCAGTCCCTCAGAAGGGTCAAAACTTCCTAACTTAGCCATGAGTTGTGCATTTTACTTACTCATTCTCTCTTTGTGTTTCAGGGAAATTGGAGATGTCGTAGCTGGAAACCCACATGAGGTATGTGGTCTAGTAGGATGCCAAGCAACGACATTGTTACACAGCAGGCATTTGGGGTTTCTTTTCTTTTTTTTTTTTAATTGTGCTTTAGATGAGAGTTTACAGAGCAAACTAGTTTCTCATTAAACAATTAATACACATATTGTTTTGTGACATTGGTTGCCAACACAACCACGTGTCAACACTCTCCCTTCTTTACCTTGGGTTCCCTGTTACCAGCTTTCCTGGCCCCTCCTGCCTTCTCGTCCTCGCCCCTGGGCTGGTGTGCCCCTTTAGTCTCGTTTTGTTTTCTGGGCCTGTCTAATCTTTGGCTGAAGGGTGAACCTCAGGAGTGACTTTGGTACTGAGTTAAAAGGGTGTCTAGGAGCCGTACTCTCAGGATTTCTCCAGTCTCTGTCAGACCAGTAAGTCTGGTCTTTTTTTGTGAGTTAGAATTTTGTTCTACATTTATCTTCAGCTCTGTCCGGGGCCCTCTATTGTGTTCCCTGTCAGAGCAGTCAGTGGTGGTAGCTGGGCACCATCTAGTTGTGCTGGACTCAGGCTGGTAGAGGTTGTGGTAGATGTGGTCCATTAGTCCTTTGGACTAATCTTTCCCTTGTGTCTTTAGTTTTCTTCACTCTCCCTTGCTCCAGATGGGCTGAGACCAGTGGAGTATCTTAGATGTCTGCTCACAAGCTTTTAAGACCCCAGATGCTACTCACCAAAGTAGGATGTAGAACATTTTCTTTATAAACTATATTATGCCAATTGAGCTAGATGTCCCCTGAGACCACGGTCCCCAGCCCTCAGCCCAGTAATTTGGTCCCTCAGGGAGTCTGGATGTGTCTATGAAGCTTCCATGACCTTGCCCTGGTCAAGTTGTGCTGGCTTCCCCAGAATTGTGTACTGTCTTTCCCTTCACCAAAGTTACCACTTATTTATTGTCTATTCAGTGTTTTTTCCTTCCCACCACTCCCCTCCCTCATAACCATCAAAGATTGTTTCTTTTTGTGTGTAAACCTTTTCATGAGTCTTCATAATAGTGGTCTCATTCAGTATTCGTCCTTTTGTGATTGACTTATTTCACTCAACATAATGCTGTCCAGATTCATCCATGCTGTGAGATGCTTCACAGATTCATCGTTGTTCTTTATCTGGGGTTTCTTCTTAATTTGTAAGTGTTCTTTATATATTAAGGATGGCAACTTTTTATTCGTTGGGGCCACAGCATTTTCTAGGCCCTAGGTCTTCCTGGTGGAGATGAAATAGAAGCAGCACTGGAACCCAAGCTGTGTAATGCGTCCTTGCCACCTGAGGAGTCTCAGCATCCCCCACATCCAGTCAGCTGGACCCACAGATAGAGCAGTCACTGAGCGCCCAAGAGTTCTGTGCAGGACAGAGAGGGCAATGGGGGAAGTAGATCCAGTCCCTTGTCCTTGAATAGACTTCCCATCTCTGAGGGGACAAATGCTAGAAGCACATGAAAAAGTTGAAGGACAACTGACAGAAACGAATCTAAACCTAGCATGACCTGCGTGTGAGTGGTCCTTGGGGGTGCTGGACCTAGTCTGGGAAGGCTCCGTGGAGGAGGTGAATTCCGAGCAGACTTTGGAGGAGGAAGTGTGCATGGTTTGAAGAGCAAGTTCACCCATCTCACTCCCTTACCCCTCCCTCACGGCCTCCGGTTACTGTTGTCCCTCAGATGATATGTGTGGAGCCAGCATGCTGAAAGTCGCTGTTCCATGATGTCCGCACTGTGACAATGGCCGGGGGCAGTGGGCCAGGGGTGGGGCAGGACTGTCTTCATGGGGCCAGCTTCTGCCGCTCCGTTCTGTCTGCCTAAACATGGAGGTACCACAGGCTGCTGGGTCTGCCCTCTTTGGCCAAAGTGGGGAAGCGGGAGACATATTCTATTGTTTGGCATATATCAAATTTGTAAGCCCATGTTCCTGCAGATACAAAAGAAGCCATCAAATAAGGATCCATATTATCCTATTGGTTTACTTCATGAGTTTGTTAGATAGAAAATGCATGCCCCATTGTCTGTTAACCCCTGCCCTTGACAGATGCAACTGCTCCTGATTCCCCGGGACTTGGTGCCCTGTAGTTACGCCAGTAGTCTAACCACCTTGAGTCAGTTGCAATACCTGGCACGAGAGGACCTTTCTGTGCTGGCGGCTCTTGGAGCTCCTCAGAACTCCCCTGACCCTGCTCCAGCTGCAGGTGCCAGTTCTGAGCCCTCACTGCCCCCAGGAGGATGTATCTTACTGTCAGTCCCAGGTGTGTTAGAAAGGCTGGCGTGCCTCTGAGGAGGGTATGGATTCGGATCCACAACTCAGGGGATAAGAATTATCCAACCCCTTCCCCTTTTTTTTGGTTTCCACTAAGTCAACTTAAAACTGACTCTAAGTCCGCATTGCACCAGGTTGACAGGAGTTCAGTGGCAGTCATTATGGAGGCTCCCGTCTCCACCTCCTATGGGGTTGGGGTTCTCTGAAGCACCAAAGCATCAGGAAGTCCTTTCTGGTCACGGGTCTACACGGGTCTCAGCTTGCTGCCTCAGCTCACAGGTTCCTTCATGTGTGATAGCTGCTGGGCCTAGAGTCTTTGGTGAACCGAGAACCCCCAGGCCTAGGGGCCAGTCTTCCCTTCAAAGGCCTGGGGCATGGCCGTGGAGCCGTGCAAGGATTCCCAGTACTTCAAGGCCCTGTGGACGTCAACCTCTTCTTGGTCTCAGGGAAACTGTGCCTTTTCTCTCTCAGCACACTGCCCAGCACACACACAGAGACACGCAGCACCATGTCTTCAGGGGACTGGGACTTTTACAAGAGACAGGAAGAGCCATTACCTTTAAGAACTGTTTTCCTCCCTCCCAAAATCTCCAAGTCATGGATAGTCAGACACATTTGATGGGCTGAGCATCTGCTTGGAGTGGGGGAGGGGAAAGTACAGGGTGAACAGAACACTCTTGGAATTTAGATGTGTTCACTTCGAGCAGGATTGTAAAGATGCCACCAACACGTGATATAACAACAATAAAATAACTCCTTAATTTTGCCACGCTGCCTTACTATTTACAGAGCATTTCACATCTATTTTCCCAGAATAACAGATGACTCCACTCTAATAAACTCCTTGGAAACAAGGACAATCTTTTGTTCTCCATTGTATTTCAGGCACGGACAGGACAGTTCCCAACATGTGCCAGGTGTTCAGTAAATATGTTTTTTTAGTGAATGAATAAATAAACAAACTGTGAAGTGTACAGTCGTCACCGTCATATAACTCCATCTTCCTCACTCCCTGGTATCCAAAAATTACCCTGTCTCCGATGACACCCCCTAGTGGCAGAGTATCTGCTATGTACCAGAATTTACTGTTGGGTGTCCACAATTCCGACTCATAAAGACCCCATATGACAGAGTAGAATTGCCCCATAGGGTTTTCTTGGCTGTAATCTTTATGAAAGCAGATCGACAGGTCTTTTTCCTGTGGAGCTGCTGGGTGGGTTTGAACTGCCAACCTTACAGTTAGCAGCTGCCAGCTTAACTCCAGTATTTGTTGATATCCATGTAAGTTTTCTTTCCTTCTCTTCCCTCCTCTTGCTCCTCCTTCTTCTTTGCTATGTGATGTTATCCTTTATTCCCCCAGGAATAATATATATTACTTCATGTCCAGAATTTACGAGCTTCCCACTAAATTTCGAAACATAGTATATTGTATTACATGAACAAAATAATTTTTTTTCCTACAAAAGTACTTTTAAGTCATATATGTATGATGAGAAGTGGTTATCATTTTTCTTCTCAAAATTTAGATATATTCTGGGAGATGCTTACCTTATATGTAAACAAATATGGTAGGCACTAACGTCCCCATGTTACACATCAGGAAACAGTCTCAGAGAGGTGGAGGAGTTTGGATCCTGGCTCCACCGTTTAGTGCTGTATAATCTCAGCCTGTTACTTACCATTTGAAATGTCAGTGACTCCATCTGTGAAATGTGAATAGTAATGGGACCAGCCTCATAGGGCGGTTGTGAGTGTTAAATGAAATAATCCAGGTAAAGTATCTGACGGGCATTAAGTACGCACTACTTTAAGTCCTATTGCTATTGCCACTCTTATTAGTAGAGTATCGTCAGCCTTACTGGATGTTTTGTACTTTCCCGAGTGACGGTTTTAGAAGACACTGACTTGGCTTTCTGGAACCTCTTCGAGCCTGTATGTCTAGTGGAGACAGTTTAGGGGGGTCATTCTATTTTGGATGGAGCCCATTATCATATCAGAAAGCCTCTGGACAGAGTCATTCATATAATGGTTCGTAATTTTCAGAGGACTTTGACACACATTAGCTCTCATTTAATTCTGAAAATGACCCTGTGAAACAGGCCTTGTTAATGTAGATTTCGAGTTGAGGAGATAGATGCTCAGAGTCCTGGAATGGTGTGCAGTAAACGGCCGATCTGGTATTTGAACTCAGGCCTTCCTGTCTCCTTGTTCTGCTGTTTCTACTAGGCTGTGTTCTTAACTGCTTTTTAATCACACTGCTCTTTGAGAATCTGAGGAAAGCTACGAAAATGCATATAAACACTACCTAAAATTTTCATGTCATTTCGGGAGTTCAAAGACCCAGGTCAGGATGCCCTGCCGTCAGTTTTTCTGCCTTTCTCTGCAGGTAATTTACCCAAGTCCCCAAAGCTGAGGGTTGGTGGGTCACTTCCCCACATTCCTGGGAGAGGACCCCCCTAGACCCCAGCACTGTGTCCCTGTTGGACTGTAAACCCCCAGGGGCGGGACCTCCCCGTGCCCCCACTCAGCCCAGTGCTTGCACATCACAGCTGCTCTATAGATATTAATGAATGAATGAATGGATTTTAAATCTCAGTCTTTCAACCTCCTCGATGATTCCCCCTTTAACCTTGCAATTGTCCTTCATTTTAGCCACACCCCAGTGAGGTGGAGCAAGAAGATGGCCAGTTCAAGAGCCTATTTGAGAAGCTGGCAGGGCAGGTGCGTGGTGGGCAAACACAGCTCCCCAGGTGGGTGGACAGGTGGGCACACAGGCAGGCAGACAGGTGGGCTGACAGGTGGGCAGACAGGTGGGCAGAGTGTGCAGGTCCTTCGGTCTTCCCTTCTGTGAGTACCCGTGAGTGAAACTAGCTCGGCTGCAGGTCTCGGACCCCCTGCCTCTGTGTCTGTCTTCAGTACTGAGGGCCTTCCCTGCGCAGCTGAGGGAGAATAGTCCTGGGTCCCTCTTCTTGCCAGGTTGACTGACTCTTGAGAAAACAGGAAATCGAATCTGTAGGTCCTGCCAGAAGCGTTTCTGTTTATAAATTGGCGCTGTCAGCTCAGGGCCTCTGACTAAACAGCTAGGGCAGCAAAACCTCTCTAGATCAATACACTTCAGAGGTGGGAAGGATCGCCCAGCCCGGGTGGGAAGTGGCTCAGTTAACCTGGCCTGGGATTGGTGTGCAGAGCCCGGTTCAGCTCACTGTCCCGCCCCGGGGGGAGACCAACAGCACTCTCTGCTCCTGAATTCAAGCTTGGCTGGGTCCCCTGCACGACTTGGGGTTCTCACCAAGCCAGGGAGAGCAGCCGCCAGCACCTGCCACTCCTTCCCCCTCCCCTCGCGGCATGGCTCATTCTGATTCCAGTCCCGTGGGGGCCATGGAGCATTAGAGTGGCCCTGGGACCAGAGGCATCACAACTAGTCCCATAAAGACATAAATGCATTGCCCTTCGGCATGTAGTAAGGTGTTCCAGAGGGCCTTGGAAGGGGAGAGACAAGGCTCGCTGCCCCACAGGGAAATCTGGGAGAATGTCCAGACTGGAGCATAGAATGGAAGAAAATACATCCAAATCCTCTGCAGAAAGCAGGTGCTGGGAGCACAGTCCCTTTGCAGAGCCACTGAGGAAACTGTTGCAAAAATGAGTCAATTTATGTTTTAGGTGGATGCTCAGACTAGTGTTTTACTAACAAAACCTGGTTGCCTTAACTGTTAAGGGGCCATATTTTCTTAAGAACATCAAGAACAATAAAAAATAAAAGCTCATATTGTGTAGTTCTTCTCTTACATTGTCTTACTTTACTGCTGTGTGGGGCAGTATCTGTCACTCTCCCGTCCTGGTGGGTGAAGTGACTGGCCCAAGGAGGGTGGGGGGAGGACAGGGCCAAGGTTCAAACATAGACTCATCAACATCCTGTTTCTTTCCTGGCAGGCTAATGGGGGCCATGTTCTTGGCCAGGCAGCTTTTCAGGTCTTATACATTTAAAAAAAAAAACCCTACTGCTGTTGAGTTGATTCTGACTCATGACTACCCCATGTGTTACAGAGTAGAACTGCTTCATAGGATTTTCTTGGCTATAATCTTTATGGAAGCAGATCACCAGGCCTTTCTTCTGCAGTGCCGCTGGATGGGTCTGAACCGCCAACCTTTAAATTAGTAGTTGAGCACAAACCGTTTGTACCACCAGGGACCTCGTCAGGTCTTACAGAGGCCGACTACTCTGGGGCTCAGTGAAGCCAGCTGCCCTCCCAGGGGCC